CCTTGTTCTGGTCGTCAGCCAGAAGCACGCACACTGCGAACCAAGCCCCGCTCTTGTACATTCCGCCCCCCAAATCTCCTGCCTCCACTTGCACTTTCAGCTCCCGCGTCACAATGTTTCTCATAAATGTAGCAGCACGCACCAGCACTTCACCATCCTTCACTTCCTGTCAGGGGAATGTTGCCCCACCCTTCTGGCACGTTGCCAACTGTTCCTTCCTTTTGACGACACGAAATAGTGTTGCTTGAGATAGCAGATGCCTCACTGGGGCGCAAAACGCACCGGCCGAGCCGAGCCGAGTTTTAGTAGTTGCCAAAATTTCCCATTGAACAACTAGATTGCTTTTAAAGAACGACTGTTAGATGGAAATTGAACATTTACTTTGCAAAATTTATGGTGATTTGTGCTGGTGACCGCAGAAGGTAGGTATAAAGCAACAGCCGTTCATACACTTAATGACCTGAGTAATTAAAGTCCGGTGCAAAAACGCATGATCGCACGAGCCCGCCCGGTGCATTCCAGCCTGAGTTGCAATTTGCATATATGCAAAAACGCATAAAAAACAGTTTTATCTGAAACATGGAAATTTAACAAAATTAAAAAGAGCCAATAAAATAAGAAATAATTGGCCAATGCAGGGGCTACCTACGGGAAGATGCGTTTAATATTTGCAGATTTTTGTCCCGCAGATTTTTGTCGCTAATGGCACTGTTTTTTCCGACAGATGTTTCTAGCTAAAAGAATTTCAGAATGGCCACCAGGACTGTCAGAAAACATCCCCTTAATATTTCAGCTTTCTAGCTTCTCAGGTTCCCAAGTTATCAACTTACCTGAAAAAACTTTCACGCGCTCGTACGTGGTACAACGCATACCCGAGGGCTAGGTTTGAGCTCATTAGACCCAACTGGATGGCGAACATCCCCTTAAAATTCCAATCCTCTAGCTTCTGAGGTTCCCGAGTTAGCAACCTACCCGAAAAAACTTTGGCGGGCCCGTGCATGGGAACGACGCATAGCCGGGGGCTGGGTTTGAGCTCAGTGAGACTTAGGTGGACGAGGAGTATCCTCTTAAAATTACAGTCTTCCAGCTTTTTAAATTTTCGAGTTTGCAACTTACCTGAAAGCTTTGGCGAGCTCGTACATGGGTACCACGCATAGCCGGTGTCTGCGCCTACGCTCACTGAGACTCACGTGGACAGGAAACATCCCTTTAAAATTACAGCTTTCTAACTTTTCAGTTTTCCGAGTTAACGACTTACCTGGAAAAAATTTTCACCGGCATATAAGTGGGTACCACGCGAGTAACAGCGCCCATTTTGGGGGACTGGGGCCCGTATTGCATGTAGATTAAGTTCCCAAAGTTTCAGCCCTGTACCCTTTATAAGTCTTGAGATGAAAAATCGGTGCAGACCCAAACACAGACACACGGACACCCCTTCGTCAATATGCGTTTTCTGTATTGCACAGCTGCAAAAAACGCATAAAATAACTGAGGTCAAAACAAATGGCTGACAAGAATTTGTTTGCCACTGGGAAAAGAAAAACGTTTCGAGGTGAAATATCTACTGAGCAAAAAAGGAATGGAAACGATAATTATTGAAATGCAAATTCCGGCACGAAAATTGGCCCTCCAAGCACAGAATTCGCGGGATTTCGGGCAATTCAAAATCTTTGAATTTCGGCGTAAAATAAAAGCTCACAATCCGGAAATAAAAGCTCAAGCAAGCTACATCGCTCACCGTAGAATGCGGAGACATTAACAGTACTGCTAATCAAAATAAGGTAATCATGAGCCCGATACGGTATACACAAATTAGCGAATAGAGCAAACTGCTGCATGTTACGTTCTTTTAATGTATTTTCTTCAGATACTCCTGAGTTTCCTGAATTCGGACAGAATGAGCACAAATGAGTTCCGGAAGTAGACCATTTTATATATTAATTATTCACACACTAAAAAATCCCCGAACTACTTCATTTTTATTTAAAATATATCCCACAGAATACCTCCATTCTCAAATTTTTCCGTCTCTCAACCTCTTTTATAATATGACGGGAACCAAAAACGTCTCAGTAAAACTTTAACTTCTCTGCTTTCTTTCCTTTCTGTTGACTCTTTTACGTTTTAACTTCCCTTCTTTCCTTCCTTTCTCATTTTGTTTGCTCATTCGCTCATATCTATTTCTTCCTGTTATCCGTCTTGGAAATTAGACACATGACTATTCAAAGCATGGCGTAGGAGGCTGTACTGATTTTTCCCACTCCTACCCGCATGCAGTGTTCGACCTGTGTATACAGCTATGGGATGAAACACAGAAAATGTCTTCATAAACGGCATTCAAGTGAAATCCTTCTATTCTTCTATTCAGATTGCTAACTTCTTTGGCTAATTATGTGAAATGGGGGACGAAATTTGAACACTGAGACACAAACACACATATATACATAATAATTATACGTCTCGAACGGAAATTTTTCTCAAGTTAGCATGTTTTGACACACACCGTCCTCAAACCGCAGTATGCAGTTTGTATAAAGGGTGGTCACTAGTGCATAATCGAATATTCGCGAAGTTCTGAACAGTGCAGTAACAGGGTAAATACTTGGTTCGGACGAAGTGCCACTGCTGAAGGTTTTCGAAAAGTAATTGCCAAGATCGCAAAGTAATGCAAGAATCGTCGACAGTGATTCCACATGTGGTACGTCTTCGTCGTGGAACTCCACCTGAAGCAGTTTACAAAAATAGGAATACACGCACTGGCATCTAATCTAAGTGAGTTTGAAAGTATTATCTTGCATTTCACTGAAACTTACAACAAATGCAGAAGGACGTCCAACAACTGTGTGGGCCGAAGCACAAAATGCAGCAACACCATCTACAAGTTTTTCACGGAAATAGCGAAAAGTTATCCGAGCAAGCTGCCAAGGATGCGGCTGAATTCCTTTCGGGAGAGCGCTGGGTGCTTTTCGCCGAAACCAGTAAATCTGAAATTATACATAGCCGTAAAAAAATTTTTCACTCTCAATGCTTTAATAATTTCCCGCTCAAAAAAAAAAGACCACTTTTGCTCATTTCTCAGACAAACTGAAGCGATTTCACAACTTTTCTCGGAAAAGGATAATGTACGGTAAGAAGAAAATAGCGATGCATGTCAAGATAGCTAGCGCGATCATGGTTTTGTGCAATTCTGCCCAGTGAACGCTTGCTGTTAAAAATGCCCGGCGCGACCACAGTGCTGTGCAATTCTGCCCAGCCAAAAACATGTTGTTAAAAATGTTCACTGCTTTACTGCTTGAGATCTGCAGAAATCGTAGGAGGTTCTGGTCGTGCCCTTTGTGAGATCCGGACGTATGCAACTCAAAAATTTCAAAATTGCACACAGAAAAGGATATTCTACGCCTCCATGTAACTTGAAGATCACAGTGCAGCTTTAGAAACGCGTAGGTTATGCATTACACGTAAGCAAAGTATCAGTTTTGGACAGTTTTGACACTTATTTACTCCCCGACCAGATTAAAAAGGAATCCCGAAATTTTGTTAAATTAGATTGTGCGTCCCGCATGTACTCTGGCGTATGGATACGTCAAATATTCAAACTGCAACATCTTTTTCATCCTTCTCCCTTGGTAATCAGATAGTAAGAAATGCAGAAAGGTTATGGAAATGCTGGCATATCCCGAACGTCACTGAAAACGTAAAAACAACTTACACAAATGCCTATCTTACGTACAACTAGGGCAAATTTAAGGATGCTTTTTGCCCTCAACACCAATATGCAAATTCCACGACAATCATATATGCTGGAGGTTAAGATTTTACGCGGTCTGGTGATGCAACATTACTGTCCAAGCTGACGCCCTTTTCTTCCTGCATGCATGAAAAGTCCAAAACATTGCCATCACGAATGCGCTTCCTAAACTGTAAAGCAACGACCATTTATACTGTCAACGATCCAGCTGCTTCAAGAACCACGCGAAAACGCATGATTATACCATCAGCAAGCCTGATGCGTTGCTACCTGGGTTCCAAGGCCTATTTGCTGACGGACAAGATGTAACGACAAGCATACGAACACTCGAGGATTTAGCAGCACCAGTTGGACAACCAACCCCTCTACGATTCTTTCGAGGAATTCAATCCGTCATTAGTTTGCTTCTGTACAATCCCGAGCAGAAGAAGGCATCAAGAGTCTTGCCAGCTGTTATCACGTACTATTGCATTCCATGAGGGCGTTTTTACTGGTTACAAGCAGGCCAGTAGTTACCTTGTCTGTTTGGGTGATATGCGGTAGATAGAACGAGCACAGCTGCGCGAATGCGTCCTCTTCGGCCAGCGATTCGTCACCGTATATGACCAGCAAATGAGTGTTGGTTGCTTGCCACAGCTGGCCGTCTTTCAGTGTTAGCATCCTTCACAGGGCACACTGAAACCCCAAACTATTCGGGCAGTGGCACTTAACCGCTCCCCACCGTGCCCCTCGTCCTCCTTCAGAGACGCTTTCGGTGTCTACCGACGCCACAGCCCCTTGCCTCACCCCAAACTACCCGAGCAACGGTACCTGCGAATGCAAGCAAAATGAACCGCTTCTGGGACGGCCATTTGCATAGTGTCCGCGTTGTAGCCGTGCACGGTTGCTTCATCCTAATAGCTTAGCCCATCGGGGAAGCCAGTTGATCCGAGGGTTGTGGGCGTGGAGGAGCA